TATAATATTTGGTCTTTGTGTTTGGCTCCTTTCAGTTAGCTTTATGTTTTTGATGTTCATTTTGACATGTGCCCATCATTATTTGAGCAGTTCCTTGCTCTCAAGTTCAAAATATTCCAGACTTACCTTGAACTTTGCCAGCCCTAGATCTGAAATCATTCACTTCTCCAAGGAGCCCTATATCCTTTGAGTGGGGAATAGTATTCAGAAACCTAGGGGAAATTTTGGAGTGCCTACATGGTACAAACATCTGACAGGCTTAGCAGCTAACCTTAAAAGGTGGCTGGCTGTTCCAGTCTACCCATACACACTTCAGAAGAAAAGCCTCGCTGTCTCTTCCAAAAAATGGTTGTTGACAGGTGCCGACTCACCGGGACCCTATGCATAACAGAGGAAAACACTACCTTGTCTTCACAAGTGTTATGTTTTGAGCCCATAGCTGCTGCCACTGTATCAATCCATCTCATTGGGGCTCTTCCTCTTTTTTGCTGACCCTCTACTTTACCAAGCATGACGTCCTTCTCCAGGGACTGGTCCCTTCTGACAACATGTCCACAGTACAAGAGACAAAAATTTAACCACTGAAAACCCTACAGAGTATAGTTTTACTGTGACACACATGGATGGGGTCACCATGAGTCAGAACTGACTTGAAGGCAGCTAGTTTGATTTTTCACTTGGTTAGGTGAGCCTTGTTTTACTAAAGAGTAAAGAGCTTGAGGACTGTGAAGGCAACTCCAACTCGGGGCGGAGCAGTGTTTCTGTTATACACTGACAGCACTTAACAACAACAACAACAGCAAAATGAGGACAGATTGTGGGGGACCTTGACAGTCAGACCAAAGGGTTTGGTTTTCTTCTGTTGACCTGAGAGAGCCAATTACTGGGAGCTGTGGAACAGAGAATGAGACATGTTTTCAATAATGTGCAAGTTACCATGGAGAAGAAACAAAGAGGAGGCAGGGAGATACTCTGGCAGGATGTTGCGTACCTACTGCAGTGAGAGGAGATTTCCAGTCAGTCATTCTGGGCACAGAACAGATATAAAAACCCAAAGCCACTTGCATTGAGTCGACTACAACCCATAGGCACCATATAAGGGCTTTATAAAACGGCCCCACAAGATTTCCCAGACTATAATAAATCTTTATGGAAGTCACATCTTTCTCCCTCAGAATGACTGCTGGGTTTGAACTGCTGACCTTTTGGTTAGCAGACAAGTACTTAGTTTAGATCAATGGTTCTTGTTGTTGGTAAGTGCTGTTGAATCAGTTGTGAGTTTCCAATGAGTAGGTTTGAAATGTCGATAATGTGGTTAGCAGTCCAGTGCTTATCCTAAGTGACACACCAATACTCCTAGACTGTTGTTATTAAGTACCGTCGAGTTGGTTCTAACTCATAATGACCCTGTAGAGAGTTTCTGAGGAGTTGCGGTTGTGTTTGAACTGTGAACCTGTGGTTATCAGTCTAGTGCTTATCCTATAGTGCCACACCAGGAAACAGACCACAGCAACCCAGGAAAACAAAAGGTAGATAAGAAAAGATATGTAACCAATTTACCACATTGAATCACCTGTGAATAATTCATAATCATAAATTATACACTGATTTAACCCATGGCAATATAATTGTTTAAAAAATGATTTTGATGTAGCTCATTTCAATCTACTTTTTTTGTGAAGAAGTTTGTGTATGTGTATCTGGCAGGTATGTACAAGGGTTAATTCCTCATCTTCCTCTGAAGACAGTCTACGGGTAATATTGAAAACTGAAACTCAAAGCAAAATATGTACGGTGGTGTGGGTGGTGTGAGGTGGAGTCGGTTCTGACCCATAGCGACCCTGCACTGGGTTTCCGAGGCTGTAAATCTTTACGGGAGCAGAAAGCCTCATCTTTCTCCTGTAGAACAGCTGGAAGTTTCGAACTGCTGACCTTGAGGTTAGCAGCCCGACTCATAACCACTATGCTACCAGAGCCCCTTTACAGGAGCAGAAAGCCTAATTTTTCTCCCATGGAACTGCTGGTCGTTTAGAAACTGCTGACTTTAAGGTTAGCAGTCCGAGTTGTAACCATTACATTTACCAGAGTTCCTTGTATGAGTATATGCGATTTAGAAATACGGCAGCATTTTAGAGTATATGCGATTTAGAAATACGGCAGCATTTTAGAGTATATGCGATTTAGAAATACGGCAGCATTTTAGAGTATATGCGATTTAGAAATATGGAATAGCTTAAGGAGTTGAAAATGGAATCTAGTTTCAGATTTTAGGCGGGCAGAATTGAAATTATCTGATTGACTCTGTGGCTGCTGAGCTCAGGAGAAAGAGGTCCAGGCTGATCCTATGTGGCTGAGTAGAAGGTGGAACCATTCATGGTGGTGGTGTTGACTAGGTTCTGACCCACAGAAACCCTGTTTAGGGTTTCCATGGAACAGCTGGTGGTTTGAACCACTGACCTTGTGGTTAGCTGTCCAGTGCTGATCCTACAGTACCACACCAAAACTCCCGGGGCCATTAATAGAATTAAAAAAAACAAAAAATTCCAGACAGAACAGATGGTAGAGGGGCGGGAGATAAGAGACTATGGGTTTGGGATGTTTTGAGTTTGAGGAACCGATAGGATAAGCAGAGAGGAAAGACCAACCAAAAACTGGAACCATTTAAGTAAGTAAGCAAGTCTGTGTGTCAACATCAATGAAGAATGGCTGTGTGGCAGGGCCACTTCACAACACAGGCCACAAAACATACCCTGCCAACAAGTTCATGTCCTAAAACCTCCCAGTTGGGATGTGCGTGGGGAAATAGGCTTTGCATTTATAGGAGAGTTTTATTTCTGCTTGTAAGCAGCCACAGCTGACCTTCAATTGACAGACAAGCATGGGTGGTCTGGTGGGGATACCCAGAAAGGTGTTATTTTCATCTCTGCCCTTTATTCTCTATTTGCTCATTCAAACACATTCAAGGACACATTATGTTAAAATATAAAGAAAACAACAATTAAAAAAGGCATTAGCAAGAAAATGTAGGATTCAGATGCACAGAGAGAAATAAGGACATTTCTGGTAGGCGGATTGAATGCAGCAAAGCTCCTCATAAGCATGTGAAGGTTGGACAATGAATAAGGAAGATTGCAGGAGAATCGATGCATCTGAATTTTGTTGGTGGTGATGAATATTAAGTTGGGAGGAAACAGTTCAGTTGAGCCTTACTGGGAGGACCCCAAAGACTGGACAGGAAGTGTCAATCAGTAGACAACTGAAGTCACATGTCACTTTCATGGCCAACATGTAACTGACCCAAACCATGGTATTTTCTATCACCTCATGCATTTGAAAGCTGGACAATGACACCGAAAGATTAAAGATTGAGTTGTGGTGTTTGCAAAGAATACTGAATATATCCTGGACTGCCAAAAGAACAAAGAAATTCAACTTGGAGGAAGTACAGCCAGAATGTTCCTTAGAAGCTAGGGTGGTGAGACTTTGTCTGACATACTTTGAATATGTTTTCAAGATGGATCAGTCCCTGGAGAAGGACATCACATAGAAAAAGTAGTGAAAATGAAGAAGACCTCAACCCTAACAATGAATGTGAGAATGGCTGGGCAACATTTCATAGCAGCTAACAACAAAGTCCATGGGTCACATAAAAGGTTAAGTCCATGGGTAGCATAAATAGTTAAATGCTCAACTATGGCAGCTCATAACAGTTCAAACCCACCCAGAGTGTGTCTGCCAGTCTGCTTCTGGAAAGTCAGAGCCTTGGAAACTCTCTGGAGTCATTCTATTCTGTACAAACGGGGTCTCCAAGAGTCAGAATCGACTTGACCTGCAACTAACAAAAGTCAGTGAAAGTTTTAGAGCAGGAAACTAACTGATCCTTGTACTAAATCAGTGTCACCACTTTTGACATCTTTGGGTCCGGACATTAGCATCTTGTGTTAATCAGCACCATTTTATGATTTTCAGTTATAAGGAAATAAAGTCACTGTAGAAAAGTACAGAAATATATGAAGAAAATAAAATGCACAATTCCACTTCTCTAAGACACTGCCAAGGAGCTCTGATTAGCATAGTCATGGTTACAAGTTGGTCTGCTAACCTCAAGGTTGGATACTACCAGCGGGAGACAGATGAGGCTTTCTGCTCCCGTCAAGATTTACAGCCTCAGAAACCCCTATACAGGGTCTCTTTGGGTTGGAATCGACTGGACGGCACTTAACAACAACACCACCCAGCTCAGAGTCTGGGACATTGTAGGTACCAGAGAATACTATTCAAATGAATGGATGTATCTAATAGATATGCCCTTTAATGTATTTTCCAAGGAAGCTGCTCTATTATTCTTTCTAACGAGTCCCTCAAGAGTCTTTAGAAACTAGGACTAATCCAGATCTCAATCACGCTCCTGTTCAGAAGTTAATTTCAACGGGGAGCAAGAATAGACCTTAAACCAAACCTTTGACTTGGGAAGGTCTTGGGTTACTTCCCGCCAACCCCTCCTCCCACCCAAGATCCACCCACGTAGCCCCGGGCGTGGCACAGCGCGGCGCCTTTAAGAAGGGGGCGGAGCACAAGAGGAAAGACAAAGCCCCTGGCCGCGCGCTCCCCCTCCCCCCCTCGGGCGCACCAACGGACACTGGTGCCCGGATGTCGGTGTCGCCGTCAGTGACAGATGGCGCAGTGTATATGTGAGAGGACTTCTCTGGCCTGACCTCCTTGAGTTCTTGGGCTTTCGATCTCCCACTGCACCCTACTTTCAACTCCATCGCTGGAGGCCCGCGCGCCTATCACCGGCGCTTACATAACGTGACCTTTCACCCCTTCATACTGCCCTCCAGTGCGCTGCAACCCAACTACGCGGCAGGGGGAGGGGGTGGGATCCAAGCCCGGAGCGGCAGCTTCTCTGAGCCAATGAGCTGTGAGCGCTGACCAGCTCTCCGCCTATTGGGTCATTCGCCACCGGCGCCACAGGGGAGCAAGTTAGTGTGTACACTGGCCGGGCGGGGGGGAGGAGGGCAATCTCCCGCCATTTTTCAATAATTTCCTCCGGTGCTGCTGAGCAGCAGTCGTGACTGCCGGCCCCGGGGATCCGCAGCCAAGGTGGGCCGGAGGCCGCAGGACGACACCGAGGCGTGCGTGGGAGTTCTGTGCCTGTGCGTTCCGCTCCATGGGGGTCTCGCGGCCGCGCTAGCAGTGAGGGAGCCGGAGTTCGCGCCGCCCTCTCACCCCTCCCCTCCCCCACCTGCCCCCGGGAGCGCGGCGCTAGCCCGGGGCCGCGGGGCCTAGTGTCGCGCTGCGGGCTCGCCGAGGAGCCGCCAAGAAAGCCCGCCACCGCCGCCGCCGCGATGGCGCCGCTCCTGGGCCGCAAGCCGTTCCCGCTGGTGAAGCCGCTGCCGGGAGAGGAGCCGCTCTTCACCATTGCGCACACCCAGGAGGCCTTCCGCACCCGGGAGTATCCTTTGCCGGCCGCCCGCGGGCAGCTGTCAGCGCGCCGGGCCGCGCGGCCTGGCCCCGGAGCCTGCGCCCGCCATCGCCACCAATCCCGGGGGTTGCGGGGTCCAGGCTGTTCGCGCCTCGCTCGGGCGCCTCCCTGCCGACTCGCCCCCTCTGGATCCCTAAATCCCAGCGCGGCGCTGGGGTCCCGGCCTTTTGTAGGAATCTGGTCTTGTGAGCTCTCCGCCAACTTCAATGTGGCCAGCCACGCCGCGCGGCCTCGTGGACGCGGCTGCTCCGGGAGTGCTGGATCGCGGAGGGGGCGACATGCTGTGACCCTCCCCCCAAGGCCCGGAGGCCGGGGAGGCCCGGGTCCAGGGGAAATGTTCCCGACTGGCGGCCGAGAAGGGGGCAAGTTCCCGGGAGGGCAGCGCTGGGGAGGAGCCGGAGCCGCCGTCCCCGGGCACGCGCAGCTTACAGAGTTCACGGATTTGCAGGAGGAGATTGCGAGTTATTGGGATAGAAAAGCCTTGTTTTTCCCTTTAAAGAAAATCGCGAAACCAACGCCGAGCTATTAATGGGGGCTTTTTAGCCACTAGTATATAGAATACTGCTGATGTTTCCGATCTTCGTTCCGCAGCGGTCTTTGAGCTCCAAAGTTGGCCGACTCGTATCGACTTTTGCAGTGGAGGGCGGATGGGGAACGTAAGAAAAAGAAGGTAGATTTTCCGAATCGGGCCTTGAGAGTGCGAGCTGATGTGGTCTCCGATTTCTCTGCCAGTTTCCTCAGGCAGGACTTGATTTCTGGGTCGTGTCCCTGGGCTCGAGCTTTTTTCCTGGATCCTCCATTTCGGGGGAGTTTTTTTCTAGGATAAGCTGCTTTTGGCTTTGGGAGTGCACTTTGTTGGAGGCTTGCACACAAAGGGACATAGCGGAAATCGAACTCAAGGACGACCTGGGGGCTGACCTGGAGCCTGGAGAGGGTGGGTCCCCTACCTATTTGCCAGGTAGGACCAGAGTGTGGCGGTGGGCTTGTTCGTGGTCCCTCCCCACTCCACACACCCAGCAGCAGCGAGGACAGGGCTTTCCGCCTTAGCCCTTGGAGTAAGTCAGGAGAACTCCGCTGTTACACGTTGAGTTCATTTCCCTGGATCACCCAAGCCAGCTCTGGTTGTGGTAGAAAATGCAAATTGCATTGAAAGAGAGCAGGTCATCTGGGGCTTTTCCTGGCCCCTTTTAGGAGTTTTGGAATTCATCCGAAAAGTCGTCAGTAGGTATTACTGTAAAGATTCCCTACTTCTTCATAACATTCCAAAGCCTCAGTGGAATAAAAATATAGTCTGACCCATTCTTTTCCAGCAGCAGCAGCAATTGTTTGTGCCGTTCCTGGGACCACTTACAGTGATGCTAACCTGTAATTTCAGGTCTGGTTCTGGTGGAGGATGAGAAACATCTGAGCAGGGAGAGACAAGTTCTAAATCTGCACTAGGAACCAAGCCACAGAGGGGCACACTTGTTTTCCTGTATCATTTAGTGCAGTCATTGAGATGCCAGGCTGTAGATGATCGTAGTAAATGATAGTGAAAGACTAAAACCCGAAACTTTTCAAGTGGCATGTATTTAATCCAAATTCTAGACTGCTTGTTTACCGGGAGGCTTCCAGAAGTTTGGGAAAATGGAATTAAAAGAGAATGGAATTTTTCCAGGAACTTATTGAAGCCCCCTTGCATTTCCCAAATCAGTGTTTAGTTTATATGTTGCCTCAGTATTCAGAACTCTAAGCGAGAGTAATTGTATTACATGTTGGGGGAAAATTGCTCCTTTGGGAATTATTAGAAGTACTTTGAGGAGGGTTTTTAAACAGTTATACTCTGGTTGGCAAGTTGGCATATTTCTTTATTAGGTTATTAGTGGTTTCATAGAGGAGACTGTGGTTGAGTAATGCTGTATTTGAAGTATTGTTATTTCCAGTTCTCAGCTTATCTTTACAATTACGTTTTTAATGGGAGTCGATATTTTAATTTTCTCCTAATACCTTTTGATTGCGTGCATACGCTATAGTATATTTGTGTGATATTTCATTGACTTTGAGCTGTGGGTTGATCATATTCTTTCTTTTGGTGAAAATACACACAACAAAACACACACCATTCAGCAGTTTGGTTAGGTTCATTGTGTTATGCACTATTCTATGTACCTCTGCCCATATTGTTTCACGGCAGTTAATGTCACCCCCTTAAAATTCTGTGTTACTGTTTTCCGTTTAATCCCTTTCAAACCCAATGCGGTGGAAGCAGTTCTGACTCCCAGCAACCCTATAGAACAGTCGAACTGCCCCATTGGGTTTCCAAGGCTGCAAATCTTTATCAAAGCAGACTGCAGATGACTTCATCTTTCTGCGTCAAAACGGCTGGTGAGTTCGAACTGTTGACTTTTCAGTTAGCAGCCAAATGTCTAACCGCTGTGCCACAGGGCTCCTTTTAATCATGTGTAGGGTGCAGTGTTCAAGATGAACATTCTCTGTTAAATGAGCTGAATAGTTTAGTTTAAAAATGACTTTGTGTGGTAATTTTGTTTCAAGGCTTGAAGTTGTTTCCAGGCAATAGATTTGGGGCTTCCTTCCAGGTGGTTGTGTTGTTAAGGCTTTGTATTGTACCAATTCATTAAACTTTAAACGGTGGTGGTGGTGGTGGTGGTGGTGGTGGTGGTGGTAAGTGCTGTTAAGTCAATTCAGACACATAGTGAAGAGCAGCTGGTGGGTTTGAACTGCCACCTTGTGGTTTGCAGTTCAGTGCTGATTCTACAGTGATCCATGTGAATTATGTAAGCATCTAATGACTGATGTTAGGTATTGATGATGATTGTACTGTAGTGTATTTTAGTTGGAAAATACTAACTCTATCAAAATAAATTATGTGACTTGAGGGCACTTAACAACATATTGAACTGTAATTAAGTCAATATAAATTTTAAGTAGGAATTAAAGTCAAAAGCAGCACGCTCTAGATGAATATTTTTGTTGCAGTTACTTCAACTGTCCTAGCTTCTAAAGCTTTGGAAACACCTGATTCATAACCTTTGTAGTATAATTAGATGAGAATTCTTAGGTGGTGCAGTGATATGGACTATTATTAGTTAATCTGTGATTGTTGCAGGCAAGAATGCTGTTGTTAAGTGTCCCTAGGGTTTCCGAGGCTGTACATTTTTACATGAATGGAAAGCCTCATAGTTCTCTCATGGAGCAGCTAGTGGTCTCGAACCACCGACCTTGTGGTTTGCAATCCAGTGCTTATCGAGCAGAGCCACTGCGCTAATAAATAAGAATGGCTAGAGCATGCTTTAAAGGTCTGGCAGTTGTAGATGGAATTCAGAGTAGGACAGTTTATTGGACAGTTGGAATACTGAGTGTTGGTTCATGTAATTTATTATCCTTAAAGTTATCAAATTATGCCAGATTAGTCTTTAGCCTAATGACAAACTAGTGCATAGAGAGAAAATAGCATAAAAATCAAATTTTGAGTTGATTATATTTGTCATTGTGTCACTCAGCTCTTAGGGTTACAGTTTACGTGTTTTTAACCTCCAGACTTTCTGGCCCACTTTTTTCCAGTCTACCAAGTTCTTTATTAAATAAATAATTCGTACAAGGTTAAAGAGGACAAAGAACTAGCATATTGTAAGAAGGTAACACAACTCATGAGAAAAGTAGATGCATATGAAATTAAGATTGAAAATATTTGCTCAATTATAGCTTATACAACCTTTGGAGAATGTCTTTGACATTTTGCTTGCAATTATATGTCCTGTAGTTGTTGGAACATAGAAACCTCAACTGGCATTTGCTCTCGGTGATTATTGGAGATTGAGTTTTTATTTTGGTAACTTAAATCTGAAGTAGAATTTAGAGGCAACCTGTTAGTGGACTTTTTGCCCCTTTTCATTAGCATCTTATTTTTCTGGCTTTCTCTTAATAATGTCAAAGTAACCAACAGAACAGAGTTATGTAAACATAAAGATTCCAATTATTAAGGGTGGTTATAGGATATTAATCTAGTTTAGCAGACTGGCCTACCAAATATTCTGAGTTACTATCAGAAGGCATTTGTTCTAAGTGAACCTTAGGTTCACTGTGCTGTCCAATAGAAAGAGTGTGTAATTTAAAATTTCCTAATAGCCACATTAAAAAAAGAAAGGAAAGCCATGTGAAATGAATTCTTTTAGAACTCAGTATATCCAAAATATTTCAACATTTCATATACAAATCATTGAGATAATTTGCATTCCTTTTTTTGTACTCTGAAATCCACTGTGTATTTTATATTGAATTGCTTCACATCTCAATTTGAACTTGCCACATTTTAAGTTTTAACTTAAAATTTGAAGTGGTTTAACTATAGAACATGGACATGTCAGTTACAAATTTGTTTGCATTTCTTCTTGAGCCTATTTCTAAGAGTTTTGGAAGGAATGTGTTTTGAAAGTTAGCTTTCTAAAGGAAACTCCTTTTTGTTAGGAGGCTGGACTGCTACCCTTGTAGTCCCGTTTGTGGTGATGACATGGGTGTTCATTCATTGAACGTTTTGCAGTTAGATAATCATACTGAGTGCTGGACACATAGATCAATAAGCTGAAGACCTTTTTTTCAGATAGTGTACAATTTGGTCATCTTTTTCTGTAACAACTTCAGTGAGGCTGTGTTTTTGTTTTTAAAAATGTGATTGGTTAGGGATGTGTTTAAGATAAAAATGTAATGTTATCTGACTTACATTGAGTATTTCATTCTGTTTATCAAGTTTTTAGTATTTTATATGAGGATGATTTTGCATATTTGGACAATTAACATATTTTCATTATTGTTAAGTGCCAATTCAGACCCATACCTACCTTGTATAGGGTTTCCAAGGAGCAGCTGGTGAGTTTGAACCACTGACCTTACCATTCAAACGACTTTGCATTAGCCCACAGCGCCACACCAGGACTCTATATTTGTGTTAGGAGACCACTAAAAGTTATCCAAAG